ATGACTGCTGCTATTTCTTTAGGGGTTATGATATTATTTAGATAGTTTTTCTGATCCTGATTTAACTTTGGTAACTGGTATCTGTCTAGAAAATTGTCCATTTCATCCAGACTTTCCAGTTTTGTTGAATATAGGCGTTTGTAGTACGATCTGATGATTTTTTTAACTTCCTCAGTTTCTATTGTTATGTCTCCATTTTCGGTTCTGTTCTGATTTTATTAATTTGGATACTGTCTCTGTGCCATCTGGTCAATCTAGCTAAGGATTTATGTATTTTGTTGATTTTCTTAAAGAACCAGTTCCTGGTTTTGTTGATACTTTGTATAGTTCTTTTTGTTTCTACTTGGTTGATTTGAGTTTGATTATTTATTACTTCCCTGAGCTTGATTATTTCCTGCTGTTTACTCCTCTTGGGAGTAGTTGTTTCTTTTTGTTTTAGAACTTTCAGGTGTGTGGTCAAATGGCTAGTATATGCTCTCTCCAGTTTCTTTTTGTAGGCACTTAGAGCTATGAGTTTTCCTCTTAGCACTGCTTTGTGTCCCATAAGTTTTGATATGATGTGCCTTCATTTTTATTAAATTCTAAAAATTCTATAATTTCTTTCTTTATTTCTTCCTTTACCAAGTTATCATTGAGTAGATTGTTGTTCAGTTTCCATGTGTATGTGGGCTTTCCATTTTTTTTTTTTTGTTGTTCATGAAAACCAGCCTTAGTCTGTGGTGATCTTATAGGATGCATGGGATCATTTCAGTCTTCTTGTATCTGTTGAGGCCTGTTTTGTTACAAATTATATGGTCTGTTTCTGAGAAGGTGTCATGAGGTGCTGAGCATAAGGTGTATTCTTTTGTTTTAGGATAAAATGTTCTATAGATATCTGTTAAATGCGTTTGGTTCATAACTTCTCTTAGTTTCACTCTGTCTCTCTTTAGTTTCTGTTTCCATGATCTGTCCATTGCTCAGAGTGGGATGTTGAAGTCTTCACTATTATTGTTTGATGTGCAATGTGTGCTTTGAGCTTTAGTAAAGTTTCTTTTATGAATATGGGTGCCTTTCCATTTGGAACATAGATATTCAGAATTGAGAGTTCATCTTGGTAGATATTTTTTTCATGAGTATGAAGTGTCCTCCTTATCCCTTATCTTTTTTGATTACTTTTAGTTTAAAGTTGATTTCATTTGATGTTAGAATGGCTACTCCAGCTTGTTTCTTGGGACCATTTGCTTGGAAAATTGTTTTCCAACCTTTTACTCTGTGGTAGTGTCTGTCTTTGTCATTGAGGTGCATGTCCTGTATGCAGCAAAATGTGGGGTCCTGATTACAAATCCAGTACATTATTCTATGTTTTTTTATTGGGGAATTGATTCCATTGATGTTAAGAGATATAAAGGAAAAGTGATTGTTGCTTCCTGTTATTTTTATTGTTAGGGGTGGAATTATGTTTCTGTGGCTGGCTTTCTTCTTTTGGGTTTGTTGGAAGAAGATTCCTTTCTTGCCTTTTCTAGGGTGTAGTTTCCCTCCTTGTGTTGCAATTTTCCATGTATTATCTTTTGTAGTGCTGGATTTGTGGAATGATATTGGGTAAATTTGGTTTTGTCATGGAATGTCTTAGTTTCTCCTTCTATGTTAATTGAGAGTTTTGCTGGGTATAATAGCCTGGACTGACATTTGTGTTCTCTTAGGGTCTGTATGATATCACTCCAGGATCTTCTTGCTTTTATAGACTCTAGTGAGAATTCTGGTGTAATTCTCATAGGTCTGCCTTTATATGTTACTTGACCTTTTCCCCTTACTGCTTTTAGTATTTTTTCTTTGTTTTGTGCATTTGATGTTTTGATTATTGTGTGATAGGAGGAATTTCTTTTCTTGTCTAGTCTATTTGGAGTTCTGTAGGATTCTTGTATGTTCATGGGCACCTCTTTCTTTAGGTTAGAGAAGTTTTCCTCTATAATTTTGTCGAAGATATTTACTGGTCCTTTAAGTTTGGAATCTTCACTCTCATCTATACCTATTATCCTTAAGTTTGGTCTTCTCATTGTGTCCCGGATTTCCTGGATGTTTGGGGTTAGGAGCTTTTTGCATTTTTCATTTTCTTTGACAGTTGTGTCAATGTTTTCCATGGTATCTTCTGCACATGAGATTATCTCTTCTATCTCTTGTATTCTGTTGGTGATGCTTGCATCTGTGACTCCTGATTTTTTTTCCTAGGTTTTCTATATCCAGGGTAGTCTACCTTTGAGATTTCTTTATTGTTTCTACTTCCATTTTTAGATCCTCGATGATTTTGTTTAATTCCTTCACCTGTTTGTTTGAGTTTTCTTGTAATTCTGTAAGGGATTTTTGTGTTTCCTATTTAAGGGCTTCTACCTGTTTACCTGTGTTCTCCTGTATTTGTTTAAGGGAGTTATTTATTTCCTTCTTAACGTCCTCTATCATCATCATGAGATGTGATTTTAAATCTGAATCTTGCTGTTCCAGTGTGATGGGTTATCCAGGACTTGCTATGGTGGGAAAACTAAGTTCTGATGATGTCAAGTAACCATGGTTTCTGTTGCTAATGTTTTTACAATTTGCTTTTGCCATCTGGTTGTCTCTAATGCTACCTGCCTTCACTGTCTCTGACTGGAGCCTGTCTCTCCTGTTATCTTGGTTGTGTCATAACTCCTCAAAGTCCAGGTCTCTCTGTGATCCTGTTATCCTGAGATCCTGAGATCCTGGATTTATGAGCTCCTGGGAAACAGGCTGTCTCTAGAATCCTGAAATCCTATGATCCTGGGCATGTTAGAGCTCCTGGAAGTCCAGCTTCCTCTGGGTGTTGTGGGATTGGTTGCAGAGCTATTGTCCAAGGTCTGCTTGAGGCACCAGCTCAGACCAGAAGATACCCTTACCAATGGGTCAGGATATGGTGTCTTCACGGGAGCAGATCAGCTAGGAGTCTGCCCCTACAGAAAGGATCAGGTGGAGTTTTAAGCTGCTTCTTTAAGAATCTATCTTCTCACTGGGCTATGGTGTCGCACGCCTTTGATCCCAGAACTTGGGAGGCAGAGGCAGGTGGATTTCTGAGTTCGAGGACAGCCTGGACTACAGAGTGAGTTCCAGGACAGCCAGGGCAACACAGAGAAACCCTGTCTCGAAAAACCAAAAAAAAAAAAAAAGAATCTGTCTTCTCTCCCACTTCCCTAACTCTTGCCTACCTATCATGAAGCTCAGATGGACATTTTGTATCTTTCCACAAGGTCAGAGTTTATTGAATAAATAAATTCAGAAATTATATTAGTTTTATTGGCTATGGTTTGGCAAATTAGGTCAATTAACCATGATAATTAGTTATTGGCCAAAATATTGGGTTCTTTTATTTCAATCTTAACTGCTAATATTAGTTGTCAGATCATGCATTAATACTTCACACAATAATAAACAAATATTAAGGTTAGAGTATGACTAAAAAGTGTTAAAGAAGCTGCAGAGTTCAGAGATACCATCTTGAAGTTATAGGAAGAGATCTGATACAAACTTCAAGGAATACTCTTTAGGGGACCTGATAAAAATTCTTGGGAAGCACAGCACAGAGCTGTTTTTAGTTGCAGAGATGTCAGGTGCAATTCCGGGTGACAAAACATTTCATCTGTCAGTTTGAAGTGGGCCAAGGTCACAGGCAAGGGAAATTGCACTACAGCTTGAGCTCTGGAACATAGGCGGAGTCTTTTGATGTGGCAAATATCCTGGACAAGGCTCATGACAAGTGACTTTGTGACTGGTTAGTGTACCTACCACACTTTGGTCTTGAGATGCTCCTTTTACAGTCCCAAATGAGGGGGTTCTATGTGATGAAATTGATAAGTTCATATGTCTGGTGTACATGGGTACATCATTTACTGGTATAAACAATCATTTTGTACTTCCTAATATGTTGTCAGGTAGTGTTTGTCACTTGTGTAAACAAGATATAGAGTCATTCTCTCTTGGTTTTACACTCAAAATGGAGTAACTCAGGCTGAAAGTGTTGCTTAAGACTATGCAAACTAGCTTCTTATCCTCTCTACAATAATAACTCAATATCACTGCACTCAGTATCAATCCTCTAACACATGAAACCTTAAGAAAAACTTCATCCAAACCATAGTTACATGTTACTAGGGGTGCCAATGAAAGTTAACCTACTAAGGTACTTGGGTGAATAGGTATAGTGTTAAGGCACATGAGTGGGATTGGATCTGAGTCCACAAGAGGTGGTCAGTCTGCTTCTGAGCCAATACTACAGGCAGCAGGCCTCTATCAAACAGTTGTACTTGGTTTGGTGCTTCCATTGTGTTTCTTAACCTCCCAAGTATATCTCAAGATGCCCATAGATGGATGGCTTCCAAATCATTGTTCTTATGAAATGAAAGCTAAGTATCTCTTATTTCTATACTGTGGTTACACGATGCTATTGGCTTCCTCAACTTTTATGAGGGACCCAAGGTAGAAAACCATATCATTTGACCCAGATCATATCAAACTACCTTGTTCCATTCTTCTTCTTGGTGCCTTAAAAAAATCTTTATGTATCCTATGCTAACATCTATTTACTCACCATATTTTCTTTTTTCTTTTTTTATTGGACATTTTATTTACATTTCAGATGTTATCCCCTTACCCCATTCCCCCCCGCCCAGGAACGCCCTATCCCATCCCCTCTCCTCTTGTTTCCATGAGGATATTCCCCTACCTACCCCCCCCCCGACTCCCACTTCCCCACACTCGGCGTCCAGCCTTCATGGGACCAAGGACCTCCTCTCCCACCTATTCCCAACAAGGCCATCCTCCCCTGTGTATACAGCTAGAGCTATGGGTCCCTCCCTGTGTGCTCCCAGGCTGGTACTCACCATATTTTCATTTGAATTTATTGATAATGTTTTCTAAAATGCCAGAGGCAAAATAAAAGGAAAATGTAAAAAAAAAAAAACAGCTTTTTTATGCTTTGTATTTACTTTCCACATATTTTTGATAATCCCTTCTAATAGGTTTTCTTTGGCAATGTGGATTCATCTGGGATTAAGCACAATAGTTTTAATCCTCCAATTATTGCTCGATACATCCGTTTGCACCCCACTCATTCTAGCATCCGTAGTACTCTTCGCATGGAGTTGATGGGCTGTGATTTAAACAGTAAGTGCCAAGTCATTCCACATTATTTTCTTTACTAACCATAAGTAGAATAACTAGCTTAAACTGTGAGGAAGGATTTCTATCGAGGAATACAGAACTGTCAGTGATAAAACCATCACAGTTCTGAAACAAACAGAACAACAAAAACAGGACTTTGTTACTGTAGTTTTCCAGAAGCAGTCATCTTCTATACTTCTATCAACAAGGAAAATTAAAATCAAGCAGAACTAAGGAGAACTGACCAGAAAAATTGAACATTTTAGCAATAGGAGAAATTGTGTAAAAATTGATGCCTGAAAATTATCATGATGACAATATCTCCAGAAGATTGAAGGCAGCACAGTGAAACCTAGGGTGCAGGCTACCCATATGACAACATTTTGCTCTCATTTCTTTGAGGTTGCAGCCTACCATTGGGAATGGAGAGTAAAGTAATATCAGATACACAAATTACTGCCTCATCCTACTTCACCAATATGTTTGCCACTTGGTCTCCTTCACAAGCTCGACTTCACCTCCAGGGAAGGACTAATGCCTGGCGACCTCAGGTAAGTGCAACATATTTACCACTTAACTAATAAAAATAGAAAATAGAGGCTAGAAAATTAGGAGAAGCCCTTTTTTCATAGGTATATCTGTTCACTGTTTCTAAGAAAAATGTTTAGAGAGGTCAATAATGCTCCACAGGCATTCAGTTGATGTACCATGTGATTTTGTACAGCATTCAATGGAAGAAGAAATGATCCTTAATGAACTACCTAGAAGACTCTCTATATCTAGCACTAGGGTAATATCTGTGAAATCATCATAGTAGCTAAAGTCCAATTCAAAGCTGGTGAGATGGTTCAGCAGATAAAGATGCTTGACACCAAACCAGATAAGATGGCATAAGTGCAATTCTTGGGATCCACATAGAGGAAGGAAAGAGCCAACTCCTTCAAGTTGTCCTCAGACCTCCACAAAGGTTCCGTGCCCATGGACATGTATGTATATGCACGCACACACACACACACATACACTTGGACAAATAAGTAAATATAATAAAAAAATTTAAGTTCAGTTTTAAAAGTGTTATTATTTTGAATGAAGTAGTTTGGCTACTACATTGTCAAACTTTATGTTCTAGTAGTTATGGTTCCTAAAATTCATTCAGCACTTACTAGGATTCTAGTAAGTGAGTGACCTGAAGAGATTTTAAAAAGAATTATGAAAATTTGGCCCTTGGGATTCTTAGTCAAATAAAGGAGGCAGACAAACCATTATGTACAGTGATAAGTGTGGTTATAAAGACAATTCTGGATTTCTCAGAGCAAATAAAAACAAAAGAGATTTTATTCAAATATGTTCCTCAGGTGAATGATCCAAAAGAATGGTTGCAAGTGGACTTACAAAAGACAATGAAAGTCACTGGAATAATAACCCAGGGAGTGAAATCTCTTTTTACCAGCATGTTTGTGAAAGAGTTCCTTATCTCCAGCAGTCAAGATGGCCATCACTGGTCTCAAATTTTACACAATGGCAAGGTAAAGGTATGTTCTCATAAAAAAGGCACAGTGTTCATGGTGACTCAAGTCTGTAATCCTTTCACACAGTTATAGATCAACTTGAGTTTAAAGAGTGAGACAGACTCTGCCTTAAAAAAATGAATAAACACCTGTCTTAGATCTTGACATTTAGATAGAACCAGATTGATTTGTGACCACCCTCTTAGGACACAATTTACTAAGTACCTATATTAACAGTACACTGTGAATGACATTATGAGAGATATGAGAGAACACAGTGACCCCCAAACAGGGGAGAAAAATTTCAAGGGATAAAAAAGTACAGCCAAGAATTGCTTCTCATACAGAAAGTCATACAGGATTATTGCCAGAAAAGTAAATACAGAGAGTTGTGGTTTAGGTCTTTTCTTTTTCTCTTTCTCTCTTTGTTTCTTTCTTTCTTTTTGGACAGTTGTTTAATGATGCTCTTACTCTCACTAGCAACAAGGTTAGACTTCCAAACCTTATTAACTTTAACTCTAGTGGTCCATCTTAACCTGTATTTTCTTTTCTTTTTTTCTTTTTTCTTTTCTTTTCTATTCTTTTTTTTTTTTTTTTTTTGGCTTTTCAAGACAGGGTTTCTCTGTGTAGCCCGGGCTGTCCTGGAACTCACTCTGTAGACCAGGCTGGTCTCGAACTCAGAAATCCACCTGCCTCTGCCTCCCAAGTGCTGGGATTAAAGGCGTGCACCACCACTGCCTGGCATAACCTGGATTTTCTAGCTAATTCAACAAAGTATACCAACAGTATGAACATAACACAAGTCTTAGTATGCCATAAATAATAGGAGTAGCAATAGTTTACATAATCTGTGGTATTTTGTAGTATTTTTTAAACCAGGAATTAACCTTGGTGGGTTATGTCAGCTTTCCATTACTATAAAAACCATCTGAGATAAACAACTTATAATGATGGGCTGATGATTTAGTTAGAACATATGACAACAACAGCATAAATACCATAATGAAGGGAAATAGAATAAAGAATTCTAAAATTGTAGTATTATCTTGGAGGTAAAGTACAGTATTAAACTTTGATAGTTTAATGCATGTTGTATTTTCCAGAATAACTGGTCAATAACAAGATAGGTTATAAGACTCCCAAATGCCAAAAGAAAAAAATATAAAAAGATAAACTCAACAAATATAAATAAAAGAAAGCAGATGAGGACAATGAAGATCAAAATAAGCAGGAAAAAAAATATCTTAACTAGATGTCAGATTTGCCAGACATGGTGGTACACTCCTTTAATCCTAGTATTGGGAGACATCGATGCTGGAGTCTAGTTCCAGCAGGTCAGGCACTGAAGATGTGTGGGGTCAGTGGCTAATTACACAGCAGACTTTTTCTCTTAGGGAGCAAAACCTAATTCTCTGGAGCCAGCAAAAAAGAAGAATCACACACACACACACACACACACACACACAGACACACACACACACACACACAGAGAGAGAGAGAGAGAGAGAGAGAGAGATCTTATTGTTGAAACATGCTTAAGTTCTCTCTATTTTTTCCTTACAGCTTATATCCCCCAACAAAATCTTTCAAGCAATATAAAAATTACAGTGTGGTTATATTCTGTTTTTTTCTAGTGAATGATTACAATGAATACACGTAAAAAAAACCAGCATGTTCTCCAAAAGCCTTACATAATTAAACATTTTACATACTACAGGTAGAAAAACAATTTATCCCCAAGGATCCACATACATTCATATTAAAGCAACATGTTATAGATTAACAAAGTGTAAGCAAGCAAGTTATTCTTCTCTTCCAGTTCTTTTACTGGCTGTCTGCATTTTGAAGTTACAAAGAAAGGATCAATCATTTTATTATTTATCTTAAAAAGCATTCTTATAAAAAAAACCTTAAAAGAATCACAAATCTAAACTTTTATATATATAAAAAAATAGCCATTTCTACTTTAAATCTTCAGGGTTCACATCTACCCACTGTAGAGAGAATCTCTTATAAGCATCACCTGTCAATAAAAAAGCCTATGGTCAATGAGCTGAGGCAGGAAATAGGAGATAGGACACTGGCAGGAAGATAAAGGATTGGGAAAATAAAGAGAAGTACAAAGATTCACCCAAGAACATAGAGGAGGTCAGAAGGATGGGAGCTGAGCAGAGGTAACCAGCCACATAGATGAACTCAGGATAGAATAAAAGGAGAGATTTGAGCTGGAATGCTGAGGAGACAGGCATAAACCAGCCAAGTAGCTGAACTAAGGTTTGAATAAAAGAGTGATTTGTCCAAGAACACTGAGGAGATAGACATAAATCAACAGGTAGCTGAACTCAGGATAAAATAAAAAGGATTAGCCCTGGACTTGAACACATGAAGCTGAGGACAGGTAACTAACCATGTGGTAGATATAGAATAGTTTGAATGGATTAAATAAGTTACAAGTTACTCAGGGAGTGAGCCAAAGCTGTGGCCAAGGCATTCATTAATAATTAGTCTCTGAGTAATTGTCATTCAGGGATCAGGGTCTGGGAAGGAAAAAACAGATTTATATTTCACAACACACCAACAGTTTTTTTTTCTTTTTTCATTTTTTAAAAAATCAAATCATAATATTTTACTTATTCACATAGAGGTTATACATACAAAAAGGCAGGACATGGGGAAGGGGATGACACTGGAGCGTGGGTGTTCAGGGAGAATACAGATATCTTTCAGAACAAGGTATTAGCTGGATGAAGGTTCAGGGGACAGGTCACTATGACTCTGCCTATGATTCACTTGTCCTTATCTAACTTGGTATTATCTGCCAAGGCTACCTACCTATTTATGAGGTCTATGACTACTCAGGCTGGTAAATTTCCACAAAAGCTGCCTGTTTACATTAGCTTACAGCCATCTGTTTCAATGTTTTTCCACTGAAACCCAAGACTTGGTGTTAGTATACATGTATGACAGGCCTATTGCTGATTTTAGGCCTATGGCTGATTTTAGGCCTTCAGTGTGTAATCCGGGCTGCCCCTGACATCTCCTCCCTTCTCTAAGTATAGAAGGGCTGTGGCAATTCTAAACTTGCAAAGGCGGGGATAGAGGCCTGACCTCCAGTATTTGAAGGGGACCTTGTAATGGCTCTGGTCTCCCTGTCGTTGTCCAGTGAGGCATGAGGGCCATACCCATCACAATGTCTTTTTCCTGGAGAGGGGATACTTTTGACATCAACCCCTATGCAGTCAGGCTTGTCCCTAAGGGAACCCAGAGAGATATTTTTAACTTTTATTTATATTCCCTTACAGTGCTTAGCCTCGAAACCTAAGCAAGAATTCAGATCACCAGTCAGAGGGGGTTCTGGGTGGCCCCTCTCTGCTTGGTCTAGGGGTGGGAAGTCCTCTCTTTTAGGTTGGGTGGAGATGGGTTTTGGGAACACCCTAGATAGAGTAACAACCTCATCTTGAGTCTCATGGTCCTCCATAGCTAACTTATGATAATGTATCTGAATAGGATTTGCTACCAAATTATTTATCTGTTGTTTCACAAAGTTAGTCAGCCTATTTAAGGCCCAGGGACCAAAAGAAATAAGCAAAAATAACCCAATTAATGGTCCCAAGATGGGAGGAAGTAGGGCTGACAACCATGGAGAGGCTGAAAACCAATTCTTTTACCAGCACTCTTCTCTCTCTGTCTATTCTCAGGGCCTTCTCTGGCCTTTTTCATGCTTTCTTTTTTTTCTTTTTTGTTTTTTTTTTTCGAGACAGGGTTTCTCTGTGTAGCCCTGGCTGTCCTGGAACTCACTCTGTAGACCAGGCTGGCCTCGAACTCAGAAATCCACCTGCCTCTGCCTCCCAAGTGCTGGGATTAAAGGCATGCGCCACCACTGCACTTTCATGCTTTCTTTAACCATCTCTGTCTTGTCTATGTAAAGGCAACATTCTTCTTTAAGGGCTGTACACAGTCAAGAGCTGTACACAGCCTTTTGTATTGTAAAAGAATAAATCAAGTCCAATAAAGTCCTTTGTGATTTTTGGAGGTCTCTTCAGACAGCGAAACGACAGATTTCTTCAGATTTGTGATGTCAGTCTCTAGCTGTTTGATATTCTTGTCAATGCGCGGTTGAAGGTCTGAGTTGTATAAGTATGGAGGCCAGCATCTGGATTAGAACTTCTAACAGCAGACATCACGGGTGATTCTTTTTTTGTTGTTGTTAAAGATTTATTTATTTATTTTATGCATATGAGTGCACTGTAGCTGTCTTCAGACACACCAGAAGAGGGCATCAGATTCCATTGCAGATGGTTGTGAGCCACCATGTGGTTGCTGGGAATTGAACTCATGACCTCTGAAAGAACAGTCAGTGTTCTTAACCACTGAGCCACCTCTCCAGCCCGGGTGATTCATTTTTACCTGGAAAGGAAAAAGAAGGGAATTCTCAGGGAGATTTCTCTTCCCTGGATGTCAATTGTTATTCATCTCATTTATGGTTGGGCCTGGCTTTGTGAGGGTATCTATTTATTTCATTAATCTCTTTGGTAGCCAGTTAGCTTTGCCTTCTGTGGTATCAAACAGGCATATCAATCCTCAGGCCCATAAGAGAACTGGGTCAAGGCCATTACTTTTAAGGGTAAGAGGGTCCTTCCACGTAGCTGTGGCATTGTTTTTATTGGTCTCAGTGATGCCAGATGCAGTCAGCAGCAGATTTGCCATGAGCTTTCAGTTTTAGAGAGTTAAAAGTGAAAAAGGCATGATGGAGAGCATTTCAGGGGGACTCCTTCTGGGGGGGGGTACCATTCCCCCTCTTTTGTTTTTAAAGCCAATTTTTCGGAGTTCTTGTAAAATCAGGGCAGAAGCGCCAACAGCTGCTCCTTCCACAGTCAGAGAGTCATGAAGACACTATTTAAAGAAGTATAAATCTATATTAATAATCTCTTTTATTAAAGGACTGTTATAGAACAGCCAACAACTAATCAGACTATATAATATATCGATTAATAATAACTTCTACTTTTTTGAGATACTCCTCTTTTTTCAATTATTTGTTGAGGGAAATTAGGATTTGCATCTCGAGAATATTAAACAGAGACTTAAATTCT